GCCGGTGTGGCTCAGTGGACTGGGCGTCATTCCATTAACTGAGAGGTCCCAGTTCGATTCCCAGCCAGGGCTGTGCTCCTGTTTCAGGCTCGATCCCTGGTGGCGGGTCTGCAGGAGGCGGCCAGTCTGCAGGAGGCGGCCGATCAATGTATCTCTCTCATATTGATGTTTCTATCTCTATCTCCCTTTCTTTCTCTCTAAAAAATCAATACAAACATTTTTTTTTAAGTTACCTGTACAATCTATTATAATGAAAGCGAAATACTCTCCCCCTGGCTGGGTGGCTCAATTAGTTGGAGCATCATCCTGTACGCCAAAAATTATGGGCTCAATTCCCAGTCAGGGCACATACCTCGGTTGTGGTTCGATCCCCAATAGGGCACATATAAGTCAGCCAATTGATGTCTCCCTCTCTCTCTCTCTCTCTCTCTCTCTCTCTCTCTCTCTCTCTAAAAATCAATAAAAATATATCCTTGGGTGAGGATTAAAAAGAACAAAACTATGTACTCCCTCTGACTATAGCTTCTGACCCAGTAATCCCATTTTAGGAGCTCTACTCTTCAAAAATAGAAGCACAATTATGTACCTCCTTTAATTTTTTTTTTTACCTCATGTTACCATCTAACACAACTTGCTTCCAGAACTTCCCTTTGCCCTTCTCTTCTGGGAAGTTATGCCATCCTGAAATCCATGAGTCCATAGTTGTCATGGAGACCTAAAGGCCCAGGACAGATGTCCCTCCGCAATAACCCCACCTGCCCCCTCAGTTTTCTGTACCTCTAGCAGGGAGTAGGCTGCCTTTATTTGCTCCATTAATTTCAGTTTCCGCCCTTCAGACAATACAGAATAAACAAATTCTTGTTTTACACTATAGCTCTTCAAATATTTGGATCTAGTTTTTGTGTATTCAATCCCTCATGTAAGTTAAGTTTTTCTTTATGTGAAAAAAACCTTTCTGGTTCCATAAACAGCTTATCATATGACATGGCTTAGAGACCCCACACCATTCCTATCACCCTCCTGTGGATTAATTTTATCAATCTCTAAAATATAGTTTCCAGTTCACAAGAGGCAGTATCACAGTTAGAAAAAAGGGCTCTAGAATGACACAATCTGGGTTTGAATAAAATTTTATGATCACTAGTGGGGTGACCTTCAGCAAGTTATACCATCCTCCCTGAGCTTCAATTTCCTCATCTTTATAACGGGGCTAATAATACAAAGGGTATTTGAGTGGATTAAAATTATAATCTATGTACTGCCTATAACCGACAGTCATTGACTGATTAAAACAAAAAATATTTATTGAGTACCTACTTTGTGCCAGACATTGTTTTGAGCACTGGGGAAATACCAGTAAACAAATAGGTCCCTGCTCCTATTAAACTTATATTCTTGTGAGACAAACAGGTGGGAAACATGGCAAATAAACAAAATATATACTATATTAGATAGTGATAAGAATTTTCCAAATCTTTAAGTTCTGCATCTTTTTTTATTAAAAATTGCACCTGTAAACCATCATTCTCTTCTCAAATTTTGCTATAATCTTTCAAGAGAAACCAGGCTGCTTTTTCAACATTTTGCTTAGAAGTTTCTTCAACCAAATATCCAAATCCATTGCTCACAAATTCTACCTTCCACAAAACAGTAGGACTCGAAGTTCAGCTGACCTCTTTGCCACTTTAACATAACGGTCATCTTTCTTCCAGTTTCCAATACAGTATTCCTCATCTCCAACTAAGACCTCCTAGAATAACCTTTACTGTTCATATTTCTACCAACATTCTATTCTGTTCACTACCACATAGGTATTCTCCAAGAAAACTGAAGCTCTCTCTACAGCTCTCCTTTTCTGAGCCCTCACAAGAATTGCTCTTAACAGTTTATCCATGGCAATGTAGGCTTTCTCTAGCATGCACCTCTAAACTCTTCCAGCCTCTACCCACTACCCAGTTCCAAAGCCACTGCTATGCACCCCTACTTCTCAGAAACAAGTTTCTGTCTTAGTCTGTTCAGATTTCTTAAATATATATATACCACCAACTGTGTAGCTTATAAACAGAAATGTATTGTTCACAGTTCTGGAGGCTGGAAAGTCTAAGTTTAAGGGGTCAACATGGTCACCTTCTGGTGAGGTTTCTCTTCCTGGTTCAGTCAGTGCCTTTTCAGTGTATTCTCATAGGGCAGAAAAGGCTAGGGATCTCTCTGGATCCTCTTTCATAAGAAACTAGTCCCATTTTAAGGGCTCTTCCCTCATTACCAAAGCTTCTCCCAAAGGCCCACCTCCTAATACTGTCATCCTTGGAGGTTAGGAAATCAATATAAGAATTTGGAGGGGCAGTGTTCAAAGGACGGTGCCATATAAATTCAGTATCTGGCACTGTTGGATTTCCTGACTTCATGCATGTTAAACTTGGTATTTTAAAAAAGTATTTATTGATGTATTATTTATATTATATATGCATTTATTGGTTGATTCTTGTATGTGCTCTGACTGGGGATAAAACCCGCAACCTTGGCATATCTGGATGCTGCTGTAACCAACTGAGCTACCCAGCCAGGGCCTAGGCCTGGTATTTTTATTGATTCAGTATAAAGAAAAATAATTTGAGGGGGCACAAACATTCAGACAGTACATCCTGCACATGCTAGTAGTTTGACCTTGAGCAAATTATCTAACCTATCTATGATTCAGTTTCCTCAATTATAAAACAAGGACAAAAATAACACCTACTTCCTAGAGGTGTGGTGAGGATTAAATGAGATAATATATGTGAAGTACTCAGAACAGTGCTGAGCATATGAGTACTCTATAAAAGTTATATGTTATCATTTTGAAAACCAAATATCTGCCCATTTTCCTCTGCTCCCACTATTTTTTGTAATTCCTAAATGTATTGGATGGTCTAGGATGTGATTTAGGTGAGCTTGGACACTTAAACTCACTAAACAAACTAAAGCTTAAACTCATTATAAGCACCTTGGTCCTTATTAATTTCTTCCTCATCTCTCTCTCTCTTTTTTTTTTTTGCTTGAATTCACTCTTAAATATGTCTAGCACAGTACCTTGCACTCAAGGCATTCTAATAAATATTTATCAAATGAAAGTTTGTTCTACCCTGGTACAGTTTCTTTCTTTCTGATGATGACGATCATTGCTCCAACAGCATAGATCTTGATTTTCTGCAAATTTCTATTTATTCAGCACCTAGACCATGGGCTCTTTTCTACCTTTCCCAGCCCCCACAACTCTTCCCACCTCACCACCATCTGTCCTGCTTCCTTTCCACACTTCCCAACCACCCACATGCTGGCTCCCATGGGTACTCCCCATGGCTTTCTGGCTTTTGAATTTATGTATCTGACTTCTCTTTCCAACTAGACTGAAAGCTCCTTGAAGCTAAAGTGAAGTCTTAAGAGTTTGAGGCATCACCTGGCCGGTTTGGCTTAGTGGTTAAGCGTTGACCCAGGTCATGCAGGAGGCAGCCATCAGATGTTTCTATCTCTCTCCCTCTCTCTATCCCTTCCTCTCTCAATCAATAAAGAAAAAAAAAATTTTTTTTTAAAGAGTTCCAGGCATCAGCCAAGTACTTAGCATAGAGAACATAGCCACGCACTCTATTAAAAGCTCCATGATCTCTTTTAGGACTTAAATATTTTTAATTTCCCCAACCTCTTTGCCCTTCTTCCCTTTCCTCAACACCCTCCTCCCACATTCAGGCTTCTATTTCACCCTTCATTAATCCCAAGGGCTGCAGTAGGGACCAGAGAGAGGTAGGGCATGGGACCAAGGGCATGGGTTCAAATGGAAGAAGGGCCTTTTTATGACCAACTCTATGGCTTCAGGCCTTGCTGAGGTCACAGTTTTGAGCACATCAAAACCAGTATCACTAATATAAAACTGTTTTGTATCATTTGTAAAGGGGTGAGAGTAGTAAGGACCTAAGTGTATGTTCTATCCAAAGCAATGTCACCTAGGTTCAACCTTTGTTTTAGCATTTGCTAGATCCATAATCTTGGGCAAAACACTTAATCTCTCTGTACCTGGAGTTTCCTTAGCTATAAAATATAAGTAACAACAGTATCCAAAAAAAAAAAAGTAACAACAGTATTTCACCTCACAAGATTGTTGAGAGGAGCAAACACTTGAAAAGTGCTTAGATTTGTGCCTGAAATGTGAAAAAAAGGTTCAGAAAGTGTATGTTATTGGTATTGTTTATTAATATTACCTATTTGTGCCACAGGAAATTGATAATCTCAAACCCGCATAAATTAGAAATATCTCCTGTGACTAATTGTAAGTGTTATTATTACCAGGTATGGAACATTTCCTATATGCTCAATTTGCATTACCTCCCTAAAGGATTTGACAACAACCTTAGGAGGGAGATGCAATATTATTATCCCCATTTTACTGAGCACAGAGAGGTTAAGTAATTTTCTCAAGGTCACAAAGCCAGCAAGTGGGGAAGGCACATTTACTCCTTTATTTACCATTTATTGAGTTCTTACTGCGTCGAAGCTGGAGACACCCTGTGGGTACAAAGGTAAACAGGAAGTTTCAGTTTCCAAAGAAGAGGCGGAGCGGGGGCTGGAGTGACGAGTAAACAAATAGTTATAACACCGTGTGGTAATTTCTGTAATAGAGGCTCACTACAAAAAGTGCTGCCGGGTCTCAGACACTGGGACAAGAAAAGTCCTGAAAGCTTAAGAGTCCGAGGAAAAAATACGACAGTTACGGAATGAGCAGTTGTTCTTTGACAAACGAGTCCTGTCACAAACGAGTTACACCGAAAGGAATAAACACCGAAAGGAGTTAAAACGGGAGACTGAACGCCTCGTCCAGAAGCCGGTCTGGCAAGTCCAGGCAGGGCGGGAAAGGGGTTAAGGCGAGCCGGCGGGCGGGGCGCGCGCGCGTCGCTGAGCAGAGGCGGGGCCAGGCTCGGCCAGGCTCGGCCCCGCCCCTTGTTCTGCCCGGGTTGCTCCCACCCCTAGGCTGGCTGGGGTGCCGCCCGGGCGAGGGCCGGGGAGCTGGGCCGTGCCGCCTGTGCCCCGTCCCTGCTCTCCTGCCGCGTTCGGCTGACTGGACGCGCTGGAGAAGTTGAGCCGCACCCGGGCCGGCAGTGCAGGTGACCGTCGGCAAAGTTTGGCTCGAAGAGGAAGTGGCCTCAAGCCCCGGCAGGTGGCGGCCAGGCCTGGACCCGGGCGCTCGCGGCCTGTGGGCGGCCTCTAGGGGAGGGTGCGCCTCGGAGCGAGGCCTCCAGCCGAGCTCCGGTGCTTTGAGGGCGCGGCGGCTGCCCGGAAGACAACTCCGAAGTTGGCGAGAGGCACCGCCCCTGCTCTCGGCCGCCGCCGCCTCCCCGCCCCCAGCCCTGGCATCCTGCGCACCGGTCGAGTTGCCCTGGCCATGGAGCCCCCTCGGGGAGGCGGCACGGAGGGGCCTGGACTCACGAAGCGGCACCGCTTCCCCACTGGGTAGACGGCAGAAGCTCCGGAACTCCTTCGGCTCCTGCGGACGACTCGGAATGCCGCCAGTCATCCTCTTCCTCCTCCTGGGTAAGAAACCGAAACGGAACTCCTCATCCGCCCCCCGACGCCCCCAGGGCTGTCACAAGCCCAGATGCTCTAGCTCGCTTCCTCCTGTGCGGCCGCTCACCTTACCCTGCCAGCCGGCGCCCCCAGCCCTGCCTGCCCCTGCCCCCGGGAAGCCCTTAGTCGCCCCCCTCAGCCCTCATCCTCCCTCTGGCTTTCCTAGAGCTCCGAACCTACCCTTCAGGCCATGCTGCCCGACCTCTCTTTGAGGTCTCACACTGCAGTCACCACCTGCTCCCCCACCCCTCCCAGAACTACCCGGAAATCCCAGGTGGATCCTTTTTCTCTTTGAGATGTTCAGGTGTAGAAAACTTGTAAGTGACTCCTTCTGGTGCCCTTTGTCGCACTTCCTCTAGGAGGCGCGCTGGCCCATCCAGATCGGATGATTTTCCCAAATCCTGGTGAGTAGATGGTGCCTCTGGGACCTTGGGGCTTAGTAAAATGAGGGAAGACCCAAGAGAAGGAGTCTCTCTTCCCTGAATTCTTCTGGCACCAATCATAGTTTTTGAGTGGCGATTATCCACCCTTTAGATATCTACCCTTTGAGCCCTCACTGGGTACTTATGTACTATTTTGGGTTTTTCCCAGTGTCCATGCTTGATCTCCCTAGCCAGATCTGAGGGTAGAGACAGTATTTCCGCTTCTCCTGGCTGAGAGGCTGGCACAAAGCAGGGTTCAGATTGTTTATGCTTTTGATACTTAAGGTGGAGCTATGATGTGTGTGGGGAGGAAGGGGACCCACTGAAGACTATGACTATATAGAGTATGAGGGGGGCAGTTTGTCTGCTGTCTTGAAGAGCCTAGCCCGTGGAGGCCTCAAGCCTAGGGATGGGTGGGAGGGTAACAGACTCTCAACCAGTGTTTCTGACTGCCTCTCTCACCAGCCTGTGAGGACCCTCCAGCAGTGCTTTCGGAACTGCAGGGCACCTTACAGCGGCCGCTTGGCCGGGACAGCCGCAGCTCCCCTGCCAACTGCACCTGGCTCATCCCTGCCAGCAAGAATTTGACTGTAACAGTTAGGTGAGAAGCAGGGCAAGACCCTATTCCTCTCCCCTGCCCCTCCCATCTTCATCATGGGAAAGCTTTCAGGGATCACTTCTTTGTGGAATTTCCATCCCTGTCAACAGGGGGAAGACTAGAATTTGATTTGGTCTAGTCTGTCCTAAAAGCCTGGCTTGGTCTGGACCAGACATAGTGTATTGGAGCTGGGTGGGGATGGACATATAGCTTGGGTCCTGGTCATTTCTGAAGGTCAACAGTCACTCTAGAAATAGTCCTTGGACTCCTATGTAGCTGCTCTAAGGAGAGTCTCAGTCCTTGCACATCCTTGCCTAGGATTCAGAGCTGTTCCTTTATTTATTTATTTATTTATTTTAATTCTTTTATTTTTTATTTATTAATTTGTTTTTGTTAAAGATGTTTCTCATTTTTCCCCCATTGACACCCTCCATTCCTTCCCCCCCACCCCATCCCCAGCTTTGTTTTCTTTTTATCCTCACCCGAGGACATTTTTTGATATTTTGTTCAGATAGAGTGGGAGAGAGAGAGAGAGAAACATCAATGTGAAAGGGACAAATCGAGTGGTTGCCACCCACATGACCCAATCAGGGCCGGGGACAAACTGCAACCGAGGCACGTGCCCTTAGCCGGAACCGAACCCAGGTCTTTCCAGACTGCAGGCCGACGCTCTAACCGCTGAGCAAAACCGACCAGGGCACCCAGCTTTGTTTTCTATGTTCATTGGTCATGCATACATGTATGTAAGTTTTGTGGTTCAGAGCTGTTCCTTTAATCAGGACCTTCCTCAGCCTCCCCAGATCTCTTGAGTAATCCAGGCCTCCCCAGGTTCTCCAACCTTGGGCTATGGGGTTGGGGTACATGTTAATTAAGTACCTGGCTATTTGCTTCACACAGTTTACTTCTCATGAATTTACCCAGAAAGGTGTAGGTGAAGGGAGAGGGCAATTTGTGGAAAGGCTTTTGGAGCAGAGGAGTCAAAGTGCCATGGTGATCCCAGGTCTCACCAACAGGCAATTGGAGGGGATAGCAAGTTCTGGTTAATTTAACTGTATGGTAATTGCCAGTTACTGCTAACACTGTACTTGAGTGACAGTGCTGTAACAATTGGAAAGCAATATACTTGTTCTTATTGAAGCCCCAGAAGACTAGTCAGTTTTTCCATGGGGCTCTAGGATGTATCTCATAGTCTCATGGTACTGCTGGCCTCTGTTAGGACTATTGCCATTGACTACTAAGGAATTTGGATAACTGAATTTTCACTTGGCTATTTGAATTGTGGATAAGTAGATGTTTGTGCTTTTTGGGATAGAAAAGGCCTGGGATGGGGAGAAGCCAGCAATGGTCCAGAATATCTCATAGCCCTAGCCGGTGTGGTTCAGTTGGTTGGAGCATTGTCCCACACACCAAAAAGGTTTTGGGTTCGATTCCTGGTCAGGGCACATACCCAGGCTGTGGGTTTGATACCCGGTCAGGGCACCTATGTGAGGCAAACTGTTCGATGTTTCTTTCTCACATTGATGTTCTCTCTCCCTTCCTCCTTTCCTCCTTCCCTTTTTCTCCCTCTCCCTCTCCCTCTCTCTAAAATCAATAAAAAACATCCTTGTGTGAGGATTAAAAAGAAAAAAAATCTCACATTCTGCTTTCCATCCTCTAGGTTCCAAAAACTGCACCTGGCCTGTGGCTCAGAGCGCTTAATCCTGCGCTCCCCTCTCCAGCCACAGATCTCTCTTTGTGAGGCACCTGCCAGCCCTTTGCAGCTACCTGGGGGCAATGTCATCATCACCTACAGCTATGCTGGGGCCAGAGCACCCATGGGCCAGGGCTTTCTACTCTCCTACAGCCAAGGTGAGCTGGACAGGGATGTCCATGAGGCGATTAACACAGATAGTGGAAGCTCCAGGGAAGAGGGGAGGATCCCACCTGTTCCAATTCTGGTGCTTCACAGCCCTTCTCCATGGTGCCTCTGCAGATCGGCTGTTATGCCTGCAGGAAGAGTTCCAGTGCCTGAACCACCGTTGTGTGCCCTTAGCCCAGCACTGCGACGGGGTCGATACCTGTGGAGATGGCTCGGATGAGGCAGGTTGCGGTTCAGATCCCTTCCCTGACCTGACCCTAGCCTCTGTCCCCACCCCACCCTGCAATCACACCTTGGAAGATTTCTATGGGGTCTTCTCCTCCCCTGGCTACTCACACCTGGCCTCAGTTTCCCACCCCCAGTCCTGCCTCTGGCGGCTGGACCCCCACGATGGCCGGCGCCTGGCAGTGCGCTTCACAGCCCTGGATCTGGGCTTTGAAGATGCAGTGCATGTGTATGATGGCTCTGGGCCCCCTGAGACCTCCCGGCGGCTGCGCAGGCTCACCCACTTCAACAATGGCAAGGCTGTCACCGTGGAGACACTGTCTGGCCAGGCCATCGTGACCTACCACACAGTTCCTTGGAGCAGTGGTCGGGGCTTCAATGCCACCTACCATGTGCAGGGCTACTGCTTGCCTTGGGACCAGCCTTGTGGCTTAGGCTCTGGCCTGGGAGCCAGTGAGGGACTGGGTGAGCGCTGCTACAGTGAGGCACAGCGCTGTGATGGCTCATGGGACTGTGCCGATGGCACAGATGAGGACAACTGCCCCAGCTGCCCACCTGGACACTATCCCTGTGGGGCTTCTGGCACCCCTGGTGCCACAGCCTGCTACCTGCCTGCTGACCGCTGTAACTACCAGACCTTCTGTGCTGATGGAGCCGATGAAAGACGTTGCCGGCACTGCCAGCCTGGCAACTTCCGATGCCGGGATGAGAAGTGCGTTTATGAGACATGGGTGTGCGACGGGCAGCCAGACTGTGCTGACGGCAGTGATGAGTGGGACTGCTCCTATGCCCTGCCCCGCAAGGTCATTACAGCTGCAGTCATTGGCAGCCTTGTGTGCGGCTTACTACTGGTCATTGCTCTGGGCTGCACCTGCAAGCTCTATGCCATTCGCACCCAGGAGTACAGGTCAGCTGGCTGTAGAGGAGTGGGGATTGAGGGTGAGACAGGGCTGTGCTGCCATAGGAGACCATGAGGGTGCCCATGTCGGGGATAGGCTTCAGTGACCAAGCTTATGGGTCAGCTTGTGGGGTTATCTAGCTTGGGAAAAGGGGTGCTTCTCTGAGGGACGGATAGGTCCAGGTTCTAAAAGCAATCTCAAGGAAGGAGGGGACCTCAGATGACTTTTGGGAAAGCTATAGCATAGGTTCAGTTGTCCTGTCCTGGGTGTGGAGGGAAGAAGCCTGACCAGGCTGGGACAGGCTGCTGTAGTTGGAACCACCTGTGACTGAACAGCCCTCATTCCTTCCAGCATCTTTGCCCCCCTCACTCGAATGGAGGCTGAGATTGTGCAGCAGCAGGCACCTCCCTCCTATGGGCAACTCATTGCTCAAGGTGCCATCCCACCTGTGGAAGACTTCCCTACGGAGAATCCTAATGATGTAAGTCACTACCCCCAACCCTAGCTCATCCTGCTCCCAATTCCACTGTGGTCCCACCACTGTCCCCTCCTCCTTTCGGGCTTCTAGCCCTCCTCACCCCTCTGACTCTGATGTCTGCCTCCTCTCCTTGCAGAACTCAGTGCTGGGCAACCTGCGTTCTCTGCTACAGATCTTGCGCCAGGATATGACTCCAGGGGGTGCCTCAGGTGCCCGCCGCCGCCAACGGGGCCGTTTTGTGCGCCGCCTGGTGCGCCGTCTCCGTCGCTGGGGCCTGCTTCCTCGAACCAACCCCCCAGCGCGGGCCCCTGAGACCAGATCCCAGGTCACACCTTCTGACGCTCCCCTTGAAGCCCTAGATGACAGCACAGGTCCAGCCCATGAGGTTGGAGCAGTAGGTGGGCAGGATGGGGAACAGGCACCCCCACTGCCTGTCAAGGCTCCCCTCCCATCTGCCAGCATATCTCCAGCCCTCCCTACTGTCCCGGATGCCCCAGGGCTACCGCCCTCAGTGCCCCTAGAACCATCACTGTTGTCTGGAGTGGTGCAGGCCCTGCGAGGCTGCCTCCTGCCCAGCCTTCGGTCCCCAGGACCAATCCGAACCCCACCTGAACCCCACACAATAGTCCTGTCCCCAGAGGATGAGGATGATGTACTGTTGGTGCCACTGGCTGAGCCAGGTGTCTGGGTGGTTGAAGCAGAGGATGAGCCACTGCTTGCCTGAGGTGACCCAGCTCTCCTTGGGGCTCTGGTCACAGTGACCTTTTAGAAAGCAGCTCAGCTTCCCTTCCACTACTTCCTGCCTTGACCCTAGGTCTGAGGGGACTTGGTGAGCCTCTTTTTGGTCCTGTGTAGCTGCTGTCAAGTTAGGTGTCCCTTGGGCAGAGAGAGGGCCCACACATAGCTTCCTCTGCACCTGGCCAAAGGTCACAGTCTCCACCACCACCACCCTCTCCTCACACCATCACCATTTGGATGGCTCTTTTTTAAAAGTTAAGTTCTTAAGAAGTCAAAGTCCTGAACACTCCATCCTTGCCAATCCCCCACCCAAAAGTGGCCTTAAGCACCAGTGTGCTAATTGACTGGAGACCTCTAGCCCACAAGGGGAGGATTTGGGCAGGGCCTGTGGTTTTGCCAACTGTGATCCTTCCTATAGGACCTGGCTCAAAAAAAGAGCACAACAAATGCTTTTATCCCATAGCTAGGTCATCGCCCAGAAGTCAAGGTTGAAAATAAAGGAATCAGAAATTTAAGATTTTTGTAAATGAGCTCTGAGCCTGAGCCCTGCCTCTCTACCCATTTCTGCTTATGCTCACCTCACTTTGCTCCTTCCTCTGTAGGCCTTTGCTCTGCCCTCTTCTGATCTTCTAATCACACACTCTTGGATTTTATACTACTCAGTGGATAAGAAAAGACCCTAAGAACCAACCTTTCCACCTCCACTCACCACCTGGGGCCCAGCTCTATAGTCATTGACACAGGGTGAGCACCAAGCCTCTTTATTTACTGCCAGGCCGGAAGTCCGGTGAACCTGCTGGGTCCTGTAGCTGGAAATGTTTCCATTTATGGAGTACCCCCAGAGTACAGACCACAGGAGCAGATTGTCCCTGGTAGAACCTGGGAGCTATGACTCCTGCCCTCCACCCTCTACCCCCACCAGACACTTACAGTCTGACCTAGGCAAGACAGATGAACTTTTTTTTTTTTTTTAATCCTCACCCAAGGATATTTTTGTGTATCATTATCATCAGAGTGGGAGGGAGGGAGGAAGAGGGAAACATCAATGTGAGAGACACATCGACTGGCTGCCTCCCGCACGACCAGACCAGGGCTGGGGACAAACCACAACTGAAGTACATGCCCATGACTGGAATCGAACCCATGACTCATTGGTCTGCAGGCCAATGTTCTAACCACTGAGCAACTCAGCCAGGGCAAGACATGAACTTTTAGCCAGTCTGCCTCAAAGCAGACAAAGGTGAATTGAGAGAAAAATCATAAACATTAAGGCTATGAAGATGCTGGCATCTACTTGGCCAAATCTAAGAGGTCTTCCTGGAAGAAGGCCCAAACTAGATTCTAAAGAATGCTGTCAGTAGTTGGAATAGAGTTTTTTGTTTGGTTTGTTTTTTCATCCTCACTCGAGGACATTTTCTCATTTTTTGTTCAGATAGAGCAGGAGGGAGAGAGAGGAAGAGAAACATCGACATGAAAGGGACACATCGAGTGGCTGCTACCCGCATGACCCAACCAGGGCCAGGGACAAACTGCAACCGAGGTAACATGCCCTTAGTGGGAACCAAACCTGGGTCTCACTGGACCGCAGGCCGACATTCTAACCGCTGAGCCAGATCAGCCAGGGCTGGAATAGAGTTTTGAATTCTAGGCAAGGTGAGTGTCCACAGGTTAAGGAAACTAAGCAGACTTGAGGGTGAGGGCTGTAGGCTGGACCCTGGACCTCTTCAGAAAAGGGGCAGGAGCACAAGCAGTGGCCAGAGCCAAAGAGCTAGAGAGGGTGATGGAGGAGGGAATGATCTGTGAAAAAATGTTGGAACTCAGCCTCATAAGCAAGGTGACAGCTGTCCCAGAGATGAAAATAGGGACAAAGGATATAGAAGGGGGTGGGTGGGTATTGTGCCCCAGGAGCAGAGCTGAGACATCCCTGACAATACACACACCCCATATTCCCCCCAGGGAAACAAACCCTAAGTCTTGTCCATACCCTTCCTGCCTGGTCGGGCCTATCCCCACCCCTCTGGTAGAGGGCCCTGTTGATTACACCCTGTCAGCATCCTTACAAGTAGTGCTAATTGCATAATGTTTCCTCTTTCCCAGTGAGCAAGAAATAAGGAATGGCAGAAAGGGGATATCGTTCAGTCCTGGGACCCTGGCATCTTGGTTCAGGAAAGACCCATGTTCCTTTCACTCCAGACCCTCTCCAGAGATTGGGGAAGGGGCTCCAGAGGTCCTCATTCTTGCTTACTGTTTTCCCTTTGGGCCTTCCTTCCCAAATGCAAACAATCCCTGGGTTCCACCAGTGTCAGGCCCAGAGAAAACTGATGAAACAAGGAATGTTGATTTCCCCTCCCATGTCTCCATCACCTGGTCTCTGCCCTCTTCCTGCTGTCTTATCCACAGCCATCTCAAAATCTTTCAGCTTGCTGTCTTCATCCCTTGTCCTACTCCAGACCTTTTATATATCTTGAAAGCAGCCCTGGCCAGTTTGGCTCAGTGGTTGGAGCGTCGTCCTGCGGTCCAGAGAGACTCGGGTTCGGTTCCTGCTAAGGGCGCGTAACTCAGTTGCAGTTTGTCCCCGGCCCTGGTTGGGTCGTGTGGGTAGCAACCACTCAATGTGTCCCTTTCACGTCGATGTTTCTCTCTCTTCCTCTCTCTCCCTCCCACTCTATCTGAACAAAAAAAAAAAAAAGAAAGAAAGCAGATATGATTTAAGGTAAAAGAATGGGAAGGCCTGTGTGTATAGCTTCATGAACCTAAAAGAAGCTTCTCTAGCTTCTCTAGGTGAGAAAACTAAAACAGAAGGTGCTACTCAGGAGAGGGTGGGGTATTGGGGAACACTCATCCAAGTTTATTTTAACCATGGACCAAGGGAAAAGATAGGCAACTTGAAATATTAACAGGATAGACCACTATCCATGGTGCCCAGTATCAGGGGTATAAGAGGAGGAGGAAGGTGTTCTTAGCTTGAGAGGGGGATTGGCTGTGAATCTGAGTTAACAATAGAATTCAGCCCTTAAGGAACAGAATCTGGGCCTGAACCAAGCTCCAGTCCCCACTGAGAAGGAAGAGGGTCCCCTAGTCACACAGCAGAGGTTATGGGAGCACCAAATAGTTGGGCACCCTGCTAAGTGTCAGATCCTTTATTCTATGTGGCCAACCCTTATGACAAAGCTGTGCCCTGGACATCATAACCCCCATGAACCAATTCACAGGTTTCACAAGCAGCACCCAAGGAATTAGACTAGTCCAGTGTACAGAGAGGCAGATTTAAACCTGGATTGGTTCACTTCCAAATCTCACCCTTGTCCCATTATTCCATAGGACTTCCTATTCCTGAGGGAGCCTGGAGATGGGTGGGCAAGTACACAGACTCTTACTAGTGGGGGAGAGAGATGATGGTTCAAGGTGAAACCCAACCTGTTCCTATGGCCTAAACCTGGTTTGAGGGCAGGCAGAAGTCATAGACAAGAATCCTTGCTGGGGTCTGCAGCCACTGACTCACTCTTATCTGATGTAAAAATGAGTCCAACCACTTGAGTTTTCCAGCTACATCAAGCTCACCTCTTTATAATTTAAAACTTTTCTAAAAACTCATTTTGGAAGAAAATCATTCTATAACATTACATTCATCTTCAGCACACCTGTAATATAATCTAAGTTTTTCTGGGATGTTGAGGATCATTCCTAGAAACCAATAGCTCCTCTTTTGCATTGTTTTCAGAAGATATAATAGCATCAGGGGGCTATTTGCCTTTATGCCAAATGACCTTAGAGCTCTATTTAGTTAGTTAGTTGTTAATCCTCACCTGAGGATATTTTTTCCCATTGATTTTTTGAGAATGGAAGGGAGGGGGAGAGAGAAACACTGATGTGATTGGTTGCCTACCCCATGAACTCTGACAGGGCTAGGGATCAATCCTGCAACCCAGGTACGTGCCCTTGACTGGGAATCGAACCTGCAACTTTTCAGTGCTTGGGCCGATGCTCTAACTACTGAGCAATGCCAGCCAGGGCATAGAGCCCTTTTTAAATGCTTATGACTGCTTTAAAAGTTTTTTTGTAAAAAAAAACGTTTTCTTGTGGTGTTGATTCCCTTGCTGCCAGGCTATCAGGGGTCACTTGCTGCTCTAAGTGTGCTGCTAATCTGTGAGTACATGAACACACATGGGCACATTAAAATTGTGAATAAAGTGCCCAGCTGGTGTGGCTCAGTGGTTGAACATTGACCCATGCAGCAAGAGGTTGCCAGTTCGATTCCCAGTCAGGGCACATGCCCAGGTTATGGGCCCAATCCCTAGTAGGGGGCATGCAGGAAGCAGCCAATCAATGTTCTCTCTCATTGATGTTTCTATCTCTCTTCCTCTCTCTAAAATCAATAAAGAAAATAAAAATTTAAAAATAAAATTGTGAATAAAGTAAGGATAAATAGTCATGATTGAAGACTGGAGAGTATATCTAATGAGTAAAGTGCATGAGTATCGTGCCTGCTTAGGAGACCCTTCTGCTCCCACTAGACCCCACAATGTAGTTGACCTGCAGATAAAGAACTGTTCCTGCATGTTAGTCCAAAGATTACCATTTTCCTCTTTGACTGGAAAAGTCCACTGAAGATTGCAATATGAATTGTTCCCAATAATAGGAGACAGTTGGAATATTTACGACAAGGAAGGCAGCATAGGGTAGAGATGAAGAACAATCTTTGGCATTGGAAAGATGTGGGTGGGAGTTATAGGGCCCCTACTTTTTTTCCAGCTTCATGATTGGTTAGGGAACAGGCTACCCACCTACCACTCTGAGCCTTAAGCCATGAGGATGAAAGGAGATCATGTAATGAGCCCCAGTCTGTGTGGCTCAGTGGTTGAGCATCAACTCATGCACCAAGAGGTTGCCGGTTTGATTCCCAGTCAGGGTACATGCCCAGATTGTGGGCCTGATCCCCAGTGGGGAGCATGCAGGAGGCAGCCAATTGATGTTCTCATCAATGCTTCAATCTCTCCCTCCCTCTCTCTTTAAAATCAATAAAGAAAAAAAAAATTTTTTTTTAAAGGAAGGTGCTTAGCCCAATGCCTGGCAAAAATGGAGTCAGGAGGGGCCAGGAAATCAGAATGTTTGGGTGTTTGCAGGTGTCAGGAAGGAAGACCAAGAGTAACCAATCAGGCATAAGAGAAACAGTAAAGGAGACTGCTATCCTGGCTTGGCACAAAGAGGTAGACATTGTGTGTCTGCCTGTGTAGCCCAGAAGGCCTGATGCCTGACCCTCAGAGGGGTTCTAGGGGAGGGGCTGGCACTCTACACCCTACCTTGGATTAGTCTTTCCCATTTTTATTTTCCATTGATTTAAGATAGAGTGGAAGGAGGAAGGAGAGAGGGAAGGGGGGGGAGAAACATCGAAGTGAGAGACACATATCGATTGGCTGCAACCAGGGCCGGGGATCAAACCCGCAACCCAGGTACGTACCCTTGACCAGGAATTGAACCTGCGACCCTGCAGTCCACAGGGCCGGCCGATGCTCTAACTTCTGAGCCAAACTGGCCAGGGCAAGTCTTTTCCTTTTTCCTGCTCTGATTAACACTAGGTTGGTGGACTGGCAGGGAGGAAGAGAAAGAGGAAGTCCCCACAATGGTTTGCATCACCTGAACCTAGTTGACAAAATGAAGCTGCCCAAACAAAGCAGCCATCTCTCCTTCCTCAAAGCCCCCACCTGCCTAGGAACCAGGCTGGGAAATGGGTACTTTTGTAAGTCTTAGCCCAGGAAGTGGTGAGTGGAAGGAGATTGGCAGGGAAGTTTGGTGACAGAGTGGTTGCCCTCTGTGTCTGCATTTCTTTTGGTTTCTGCCTCTAGCCCCTCCACTTAGCCACAGAGCACCTACTCTGGACTGGACACTGGGCTAGGGGGCTGGGAACTCAGAGATAAATGACGCATAGTTCTGGCTCCTGGAGAAGGACCTCTCGGTCCTTGTGTCCTTCCTCGTGCTGTCCTCTGCTCCTTTACCCACCGACCCCTTGCCCCAACTTCTCTGAACCTGTCTCTTCTGCCCTCTGACTTTGTTCTGTTTATATCTTAACCAGATCCGCAGTGTGTGTGCTCCCAGAGGGAAGCGACACAAAGGGGTGGGGGATAGAAAGGAGGGAATCCCGCTGACATCACTGTTCATTAGCATGTGTGACCTCATCAGGAGGCGGGACAATTCCCCCAGGTGTCTGGGGGGGAGGACATGTAGGGGGGTGGTATTTAAAGGGAAAAGCTGACAGTGCTGCTGAGTGAAGCAGCCGGTGCTGCGAGTCGCCGGGTGGCACACGCACACTGATGCATTCGGACCTGGACACAGGCATGGACACGGACACAGAAACCACAGCACTCTGCCCCTCCGGCAGCCACCAGGCCTCCCCTCCGGGGACACCCACACCAGGTGAGGCAGAGCTGGGCAGGTTTTGGCTGGAACCATGGGGGTGGGAGATGAAGCTTTGATGGGGAGGTCAGAACTAGGGAGCAAAGGAGCTTGAACCCAAACAAGAGGGGAAGAGCAAGTGGGGAAGCCTCCCACTCCCACTAGGAATGGGGCTGGACTGGGAAGTGGGGGGAGAGCTGCTTAAACGCCCTCCCCCTCACTCTCAGGGCTTTGCTGGGGAAATTGGTGCTTGGGGGGGGGGGCAGCCCACAGGCAGAGGGTAGGGAGAAAGGGAAGGGGCAGCCCAGAAGCCTGGGAATCACGGGCAAGGGGCTCCCCTGGGGATCTGTTATAAAGGTTTCTTCTGGCTTCTGGAGGCCCTGGCTGCTGGCCAAGTATTGATCCTGGGCTATTTCCAGCCTCTCTCCATCCTCCTTTGTTGTGTCTGTCCATCCTCCTCCGGTTACCCTGACCCATGCATTGTCACTCTCTCATGCTCCTGCTCTCTCTCTCTCTCCCTCTCCTCCTCTCCCACCCTCCCTCTTACCTCACCACAAACACAGTATTTTCTCCAACTCACCAGGACGGCGAGGGATGTAGAATTCTCACACACCAGCCATGTGCTGGGGGATGCTCACCTACAGGGCACAGGGAGAGGCAGCCCCTCTCATGCACACATCCATGAAGACCCCAAACACACATTTCAAAAAGCAAAGGCCCTTCCCTGGAACAAGGTCCCCACAAAGTTTTTGCCTACCACTACCCACCCCTCCAGAATACGGGCAGCAGCTTCAGCTTCTCATCCCTGAGTCAGTGCAGGAAGCAGAAGGGGCAGGGCCTCTTGGCCAAAGGAGATGCAGCCCCCCGAGGCCAGAGGCCTAGACTGGGGGTGTGCTCATATGTCAGTGTGAGTGAGTGTGCAAGGCTGCACACAGGTGTCTCCCCTGTATGAAACCACTTTGGACAAGTCATCAGGTCAGCTTCTTGGTGGAGGAGTTTCAGTGTAAGAGGTCAGACCAAAGATTCTCAGCTCCTTCTGGGTCATGGTCATCAACTGGACCTCTGAAGCTGGAATAACCAGGATTAAGTCCTCTGCAGATGGTAGGCACACCTTGCTCATAGCATCTTTCTCTTTGCCCCTCAGAAGCAAATGCCACACTGCTGAAGAAGTCAGAGAAACTGTTGGCAGGGTTGGACCGGAGTGGGCCACCTTCTGTCCCAGGGGTCCCCAGACGAAGAGGCAGTATGCCTGTCCCCTACAAGCACCAGCTGCGGCGGGCCCAGGCTATAGATGAACTTGACTGGCCACCTCAAGCTTCATCCTCTGGCTCTTCTGACTCCTTGGGTTCAGGGGAGGCAGCCCCTACCCAAACGGATGGCATCTTCAAGGTCATGCTGGTGGGGGAGAGTGGCGTGGGCAAGAGCACCCTAGCAGGCACTTTCGGCGGTCTCCAGGGAGATAGTGCTCATGAGCCAGAGAACCCAGGTATTTGGGGGAACCCTGCAGGGGTTGAGAGTACCTCTACTACCCTAGTCAGGGATAGAAGAACTCAAGGCATGAGCAACCCCTGGAGGCCAGAACCTAAGAGAAGTTTCTCCAATGCTTTCTGTGGCAGCCTCCCTGGGTGAGGGTCTCTGGTTCTGTGATCTAAGGTGTTCCTGGTTACCAGGTCTCACAAGTGTTGATAGCCTTCTAATGGGCTCTATTTCCTGTTCTTATTTCCCAACAGAGGATACCTATGAGAGACGCATCATGGTGGATAAGGAGGAAGTAACTTTAGTTGTTTATGACATCTGGGAACAGGTGAGAACTAAGAAGTGGCTGCAAGCAAGTGATGAAACCCTGGAAGAACTGGGAAAGGGCAAAGTCTGGCTCAAGGCTGGTGGGACTGCAGGCGCTGGTTTCAGCATGTTTTATCATTTCAAAGAGCAAAGGTCCACACTAGTGTGCATATCATGGCATTGAGAGCTGCTGTCTTTCTAGGATCTTCTGACCCAGAGGAAAGTTAGGGTTTGAATTTGGCAAACCCTGCAGCTGCAAGCCAGGCTACACATCCTGAAATTGACCCTATCCATACATTTTTCAGCCTGGAAGAATCTGACCGGACAGGACAAAAGTTCAGGGCTCTGTAATATCAGTGAAAGAAAATTTTAAAAGTGAGGACTTGTGAACATTTGAACATAAATGGTTACTATATAGAGAGACCAGATTACATACACTTGAATAGAAGTCATTTCTTAAGCTTTCTTGAGCTTAAGTATCGAAAGCAGGATGGACTACACTAGTCTAGGATCTTATGTCTCTACTTCTCAAGTGTGGGGCTCACATTACTAACTTGTCCCTCCCCCACAAACATACTCTGGGTATGGAGATTCTGCCCTTAACTAACTCCGCTGTTCTGAGCAAGTGGCTACTCCCTCACAACCTGATTTCTCATCCTTGAGATGTAGGTGCTGGACAGGTTCTCCTATGCCTCCAGCCCTGACATTGCATGACTCTCTCTGCCCATTTGCAGGGGGATGCAGGGGGGTGGCTGCAGGACCACTGCCTTCAGACCGGGGATGCCTTTCTCATCGTCTTCTCAGTCACTGATCGAGGAAGTTTCTCCAAAGTTCCAGAGACCCTACTTCGACTCCGGGCTGGGAGGCCCCACCAGGACCTGCCTGTCATCCTTGTTGGAAACAAGAGTGACCTGGCCCGTTCCCGAGAGGTTTCATTGGAGGGTGGGTATCCTGAACTTCATCCATGCTTGCAATCTTAAGGGAACTTCCATGTCACCTCTTTTTACCATCAGGTGCACAAAATTTACTGCATTTAGCCCCAGGCTACAGGTAGTCTCTCAATGCCCCTGCCTAGGGCCCTGATAACAGGTAGTCTCTCAATGCCCCTGCCTAGGGCCCTGATAATCCCTTCTTTACACTCCCCCTTACCTCTTCTCCAACCTCCCTTTCTCCCTCCCCAAGAATCCTGCTTTGTCCTCTTACTTTGGCCCAACCCCTTTCCACTGCACACCCTGCCCCAGGCCCAGTGCAGCCCCTTAGGCGCGCCTGAACCAGTCCCTTCCCGCAGAGGGCCGCCACCTGGCAGGAACATTGAGTTGCAAGCACATCGAGACATCGGCTGCGCTGCATCACAACACGCGGGAGCTCTTCGAGGGAGCTGTACGCCAGATCCGGCTGCGGAGGGGCCGGAGCCACGCGGGGAGCCGGCGGCCTGAATGGGGCAGCCCCGAGGGCCCCGCGCCACCCGGGCGCCGCGAGAGCCTCACCAAGAAGGCCAAGCGCTTCCTTGCCAACCTGGTGCCCCGCAACGCCAAGTTCTTCAAGCAGCGCTCTAGGTCGTGTCACGACCTCTCCGTGCTTTGAGCCGCGGTCGCCATGGTCACCGCGGTCGCCATGGCCACCACTTTCTCCGCTCGCCCCCTCGCCCCGCCCCTGTCCGACTTCCTTTGTGAAGACGGTCTAAGAAACCAAAAACTCCCAGGACGCCCTGGTGTGACCACAGTGGGTGGGGTGGGGGTGGAGAGAGGGCGGTCTCTAGATACCGCCCGCCGCTGGGCGCGTAGGAGGCAGTACTCCACCCGAGGGTGGGTGGGCGTGCCGCGGCCGGCGGGCAGGGAGGAAAATCGTTCTGCAAGGTATAGTATTCTGTTTTTTAATACTTCGCGCTTGACCATCTCTTCTGTAAAGAGATCCTAAAACCGAGAACTGGAAAAGTGCTTTGTAGACTCTTACAGGGTTTCCCTTTGTACTCTGCACGAATTTGCCTCACCTTTAAGAGATTCTTAAAGGTAAAGACACAGAGACCCTTCTTGGAGACTTTTCCGAAAACGTTCTGGCTCTTATCTGCTGCACTTGTCCACATTGCCTTTAAGAAGGGCCTGGTAGTGCTATTTTTGAGAATTGATTCTGTGGTTTATCATTTTACCATGGCACTTCCCCTTTAAGGCTATTAAAGGTAAGGCGTGGACAGACTTTTGCCTTCAGATACCAGCGTGAGGAGCAGAGCGGGTGGTAACCCCCCCCCCCCTTTGGCCAGGGCCCAGGAGGTACCAGCAAGGGGGTCACCCTTTCTTTTTCAATAAAGAATTTTTCTACTGCACCTGTTCACTTTGAATTTGTTCTCAACACTCCAACAGAAGGGATGGATGTAAGAAACTCTGTTAGAGACAAGAAAACTCAGGCCCAGAGGAGCAAGGAACCTAAATTTCTAGGGAAGCTTCAGAACTGACTTAGTGCTGATGTAGTCCGTGACAGGTGACCACAGCCCCTTAGAGATTACTGGGTCTAACTCGTGCCTTTGCTGATGAGAAAACAGGCCTGGAGAGGAGCTAGAATTTACCTGCTAGAAGTTATTTAGTAATTTGGTGACACAGTGGTACCAAGTCCCCATCTTCTTACCCTCCCTTACACCTCAAGCAACAGGCTAGAGGCTACATTTAGCTCCCAAAGCTACATTCAGCTATGACCTGGACTGATTCAAGGTGAGGCCCATATCCACCAGAGAGGCCCACCAGCTGGGTCATGATGGTGTCAGTCTGCATATCCCGACAGGGCCCCACCACCCCAGCTGTCATCTGCAAAGCCTGGGTGAGAACTGAAGCTGTCAGTGCCTTCCCTGGTGACACCCACGCCTGCTGCTGCCTGAGCTGTGAGTCTGAACAAAGGGAACAGAAGCAGCAGCTCCCCTCACACTTAAACATGCAATACAGTTACTGAGCAGCCAAGGGCCAGGCCTCCACCTCACCCCACTCAGGTTCCCAGAACTTGATGGAAAGAGGGATGAGATGTCTTCTGAGTCCTTACAGCTGTGGAGGAGCCAAGTGAGACCAGCCCAGCATGAGATAATATGATAGCAGCACCATCCTTAGAACTTTATTCACTTCATCTGTTCATTCTTTAATGACTATATAAGATAGTACTACCTATATTTACTGTGGAAGAAACAGAGTTTAAGTAACTTGTCTGAGAGGTCAAGCAAACAAGAGCTGGGATTCTACTCATGTCTGCTTGATACTTAATGGTGATTTTATCCACCTTTGCATCTGAGGTTCCCCTTCCAGTAAGGATGGGGGTAAGAGGAAGAGTGACAGAAGAAATGCAGACAACACAATGAGCAGGGCCTAGGCAGTGGCTGTGGTGAAAGGGCCAGAGCAATTACATGGCTGTAGTAGAGTAAACCAGCTCTAATCTCTTGAGGCCATGAACAAATATAGTTTAAATTTTAAAATGCAGCGAAACACACTGGGCCCATTAAGAGACCAGATGGTTCTGCAGTTAAGTTGAAACCTCGGAGACATGAAAAGGAGGGTAAGAGACGAGCATGGAAAAGGTCTGAAACCCTACTACAAAGGACTTTAAATGCTGACAAAGGAGTTAGTGCCCAACTCTGTAAGCAGTGAGAGTTGCTGAAGGTCTTTATATGTGGAAATGACATGATGAGAATGGTTCTTGGGGAAGAGGAGGCTGGGAGAGGTGTGCCTGGATTGGAACAGAAGAGGCAAAGCCTGAGGGCCTGAGTGTAGGGGTCAATTGCAGTATTACATATGGTGGGCAATGAAAGACCATCCCGAAAGAGAGGACAGTGGGAAAGCAGAGGCAGCATGGGTTTGAGAGTCAAAATAGATGGGTCTTGGCAACTGAGTGTCTGGATATAAAGAGGGAGGGATTGCAGGCTGTGGGAGGATGTTAAGGAATAAAATTAAGGGGCAGAGAGTAAGAAGGTAAATGGCTCTATTTTGGAGACTGAGTATGAGATGTTAGAATATCCACATGGAGAGTCAGCAGTTCCCTGGACAGCTGGGTCTGAAATTCAGAACAAGCTGTGGTTAAGAGTTACAGATACGGCCCTGGCCGGTTTGGCTCAGCAGTTGGAGCGTCAGCCTGCGGTCCACAGAGACCCGGGTTCGGTTCCTGCTAAGAGCAAGTACTTTGGCTGCAGTTTGTCCTCGGCCCTGGTTGGGTCATGCGGGTGGCGGCCACTCGATGTGTCCCTTTCACGTCAATGTTTCTCTCTCTCTTCCTCTCTCTCCCTCCTACTCTATCTTAATAAAAAATGGAAAAATGTCCTCAGTGGAGGATTAAAAAAAAAGAGTTACAGCTATGAGGTTAATTGCTATAAAGATGGAAGTAGAAGAGCCAGAGGAAATGATGATATACAGGACAGGCTTTAGGAATGTGTAACCTGTGCAGTCACACAGGGCCCTATGCTTAGTTTAATGCTCTGCTGTTGCTATCTTGAAATTCTTTAAACAAGGAGCCCTGCATCTTCATTTTACATGGGGACCCACAAATTTATACTAAGATACTAAGGAAGAGGGTGTGACACAGGCTGGGATTCTTAGCCTCAAACCACATATACATAGGCTTTAGGGGCCTGTGATTCTTATGAAATGGTACAATCTGACATGTTTGTGCAGTCACACATTTGCCTTAGAATAAGGGTGATGAATTTCATTAGATTTCTAAAGGGGTCTGTGACCCAACAAATTACAAACCAGGTTAGTACTGATGGCTGAGGAGAAGGGGAACTGGGTGGGTGAAGGACAGGTGTGAGAGATTTACTTCTCATTGCACACCCCTCTTCTATCTTTTTAACTATGGCATATCTTCCCTGTTCAAAAACTAAATAAAACAAACAAAAAAAAGAAAACTTGGTGTTCCAAAGAGGGACCAAAGAGAGTCTTGGGGACAGGCAGGTAAAGAATGTAGAAATGCAGCCCTGGCCAGTGTGGCTCATTTGGAGCATTATCCCGTGCACCAGAGGGGTGGTGGGTTCAATTCTCGGTCAGGGCACTTACCCAGATTGCGAGTTCAATCCCCAGTTGGGGCACGTACAGGAGGCAACAGATCGATGTTTCTCTCAAATCAATTTAAGAAAAAAAAAAAGGGTAGAAATACAGCTACCACAGAGGCAGAGGAAAAACTAGGACTGAACATGTAGACTACTGCCAAGGGAGGAGGGCTTTTCTAGAGGAAGAGTACCACCAATAGTCAAAGGTTGACAAGGGGGGAGGATGACAAGAAGGCCCAGTGCCTTTCATGTAGAAGTCTGAAGATGATGATGGCAGGACCTCCCCACGTCGGGAGCCACACACACCATAGGCCTTCCTTCCCCAGAACCCAGCCAGTCCTATCAGCGGACCCATCTGTGTGTTCCCTCCAGACGCCTACAGGGAAGAGCTCAGAGCAGAAGGAAGCTGAAGTCACACTCCTGCCAGACTTGGGAGAGGTGGGGTCTTCTCTGAGAGTCAGGCCATTTTTCTCCCTCCCTCTGATCAAGCAAAGTAAGCCTTGGCTGCTGATGTGGACTGGTGTGAGAGATAGCTAAGGGCCCTGGGACCTGAGCTGCCTGTGCCAGATAAAGTCTCCTCTGCCTTCGTGCTCCTTTTAACCACTGTGATTTTGTCTATTTTGTCTTGGGGTCTATGCTCTTACCAGCCCAACCCCTGCCCACCCCGCTGTCCCCATTCCCCCAACTCATAAGGCCTTGTCATTGGCTGAGAGTATACACTGTGCCCTCCCCTGAGGGGCCAGAGGTGAGGTCAGTCCTGTGTCTTGAAAGCTATTCCTCTGCTCTTAGGCCTTGATGCATCTAATAGTCTACACAGACTGGGGCAGGGGCTCTTATCATCTGAAAGGCTGCCAGAGTCATGCAGGCACAACTTCACAAATCTTCTGGGTTAAACACTCACTCCCAGAAAGTTCACTCATACATACATCTTTTATTAATTTAATATAGTTCCAATCCCCATCAGTCCAAATAAAATGTTCCTGGATATGGTTATATTTCATCTACAAATGCTTATTGCTTATTGTTTCTCTCAAGTACTACTGGGCCCTCTGAGGAAAACAAATACAGATAAGACTCTATCCCTGCCCTCAAGTAACTTACAATTGACCCAGAGATAAAACAAGGTAGTGACAGCACTACTATGGCCAAAACAGCAGCAAACTACACACCATATTCCATCTCACTGGGGGTAACACCATATGCTTTAAAATTTTCTAAGAATGGAAAAAAAAATTTTAGAAGACATATTTTAGGAACTGGGGCTTGAAGGATGTATGTACATTGTATATAGATGGAGAAAAGAAGGAAAAAAAACCCTTATGGTGAAACTACATGAGGAATGCACAGGAGAAATGGTGGGCAGCCCACGCCATGGTAAGGTAGACTTTCCCAACACAGAAGTCAGGTGGATGGTGTGGCCAAGTTGTCAAGAGGCCAAAAAACCAGGCAATTGCGTCCTGCTTCTTAGTCCTTCATCATCTTGAAGACTCTCTGATGCATATATGCTCAAGGTCCCTTGTCATCTATTTGAATCTTGATACCTTGCCTCCATACCTTAGTGGCCTTGTAAACTCAAGATTTGAAAACAAATTCAGTGGGGCCTTGCAGACACTTTAGAAGCCCATTCAGGCCCACTACTTTCTGAATGGAGGTCTAGGGAGAAAAGTTACTCTTAACCTTTGCCTTTCTGAACCTCAGCTCTCCTGACCATACAATGAAGACAACACCTACCTCATAGGAAAGTCATGAGGATTAAATAAAAACACCAATATCTTTGTAATTTTTGAAGCATTATATAAATAAGCAATGAAAGTCATATTCTTTAATTTTTTTTTTTCTTTATTGATTTTTAGAGAGAAAGGGAGAAGGAGAGAGAGATGGAAACATCGACTGGCCGCCTCCTGTATGCCCTGCACTGGGGATTTGGCTCCCAACCTGGGCATGTGCCCTGACCGGGAATTGAACCGGTTGGTGCATGAGTCGATGCTCAATCACTGAGTCACACCGGCCGGGCAGAAGCCATATTTCTGACACCTGTGTTCTGGTCCCTTATTCAGGTACTTGGCAGTTTGCTAACCTCTCAAAGCACAGCACCACTCTGGGAATACAAGTTTAAGTTGCAGTTTGTAAGGTCCCACATGCCTCCCACAGCATTCATAGGTGACCCATCACTGGATTTGTTGTTTTAGGAAAGACTAGGGGTAAGATTTGACAACTAAAGTCTAAGTAATGGTATTGTACTGCAGTTTTCCATTTTTTGTCCAAATGACAACTGGTCTTTAGGTGGAGAACCTGTGATGATTTAAGACTTATTTTTTTAATCCTTACCTGAGGATATTTTTCCCATTTATCTTTAGACAGAGTGGAGAGGAGGGAGGGAGAAAGAGAGAAACATCAATGTGAGAGAGACACCTCAACTGGTCACCTCCTGCATGACCCTGACCAGGGCCAGGGATGAAACACAATCGAGGTATGTACACTTAATCGGAATCAAACCCACAACTCTTTGATCTACGGGCCAACGTTCTAACCACTGAACCAAACTGGCCAGGGCTAAAATACTTATTCTGAAAGGAAATTGCCAAGTAGGGCTAGGTTCTGAAGACCAAGAGCAGGCGCTACAGAAATACTTGGGAGGTTAGGTGGGACACTAGCAAAGGGCTCTAACCATGAGTGCCAGAAAAAGCAAAGGGTATTAGGTACCCTGAAGGTACCTGGGGGGCTCACCTTGATTTTTCAAAGCCATCTGGCCATAATCTGATTATATAAAGTTTCAGGCATAAAAAAAGATTGGACAGTGGTATTTGTCTTCCTGAAAGCTAGGCTGGTTGTACCTGACCCAGGACCTTGTGAATCTGGGATTTCTAGCACAGGAACAATTGAGGTTTATTTTCATCATGGCCCCACTCTTACTTCTCCCCCTGTAAATCTTGAGCATTGTCTGAAGTTGGGGAGGAGAATAAGGTCAGGTAGAAAGTCAAGTGTGTAGTACGCATACAGAGGAATGGGAATACTGATGGCAGCAGTAATGACCAGCTAACAAGTTCTAAGCCCTCTACAGGGATCATTTCATTTAATCCTCACATCCCTGAGATAGGTACTATTGTTATCTTTTTTTTTTTTTAAGATGAGGAGTCTGAGTTAGAGAAACAGAGTAACTAACCCAAGCTCACAGTTGGTTTGAGATAGCAGATCTGAACCATGTTGTGTTGCTCCAGAGTATAACCAATCTGCTACAAGGTGGCCGTCCCCTGGCTTGGTTGGGCCCAGGAATTGGGAGAAGGAAACTAATTCTAAACAAGTAGGTATCATGATGCTTGAAAGCTGATTACAGCTCCCATCCTTTCTGGAACACTGGCAAGAGTCTGACAAGTCTCTGATTTCCAAGGTCATTGTTTCCTTCTTTGCAATCCAGCAGTGACTGGCTCCTTTCCAGTCTTCAGACACCTCATCCATATCTACCCATTGCCCTCAAAAATAACTGCTTAATGGCTCTCCAGTAACTCCTGCCAACTCTGTAAGGGCTCTTGAGAGCAGATCATCTAGGGCAGTGAACAGAACTCATCCAACTTTTAAAGTGATCTTTGATCAGCTCTTTCCTTGTTTCCACCTTCCCACATGGATCTAAGTTGGCTGGTCTGCTTCACCTCACACAGAGTTCTCTCAACCAAGAGCAGAGCAAATCAGTTCTGGATACAGACTGCAAAAGCTGGGAAGGAGGAGAAGGATGACTGAAGCCAGAAGATTCAGACAAACAGCTTCTCAGACCAGAATTCCTTTCCTGAATCCAGCTCATGACTATTGACTTCACCTGGTTGCCACGGAAACACCAGTCTCTGGTGGATGGCAAGCAGCATTTTAGACAGAAAGCATCACAGGCTACCATGGTAACACTAAAAAGAGTAAAGCTGCCTCTTCTCTTGAAGAGGTGAGGAAGGAATAGATGAAGCTGCCAGGGAAGGCAGGCTAGAAGGAACAGGATTCAGAAAGCCTGGCTCCAACCTGAACAGGGAGGGAATTAATTCAACAGACTTGTACTATGTGTAAAGCAAAGCAATAACGAAAAGGACATGTCTATGCCTGGCGTGATTAGGCCATAACCATCTATTAATAGAGTAAACAAAGAACTGTAAATAAAGGCCAATAAGACCTATAATGGGACAAAGAATACTGAAAAAGGAACTCAGCTCCAACTAGGAACATTTCAGAGCCATAAAGAGCTAGATTTTGATCAGCAGAAGAGGGCCCAGAAGACAGAACAAAATGAGCAGACACAGAAGTGGAAAAATTCAGGATATACTGAGAACTATGGGTATAGAGACTGAAAAAGTGACATTTCCCCATGACTCCAAGGCCTTAGCTTCCACAGTGGTGCTGAGGCAGGTTAAGATTAAAATCAAGGGATCTGAAGCTAGATTGCCTGAATTGGAATCCTAAACTTGCTAACTTTGTAACTGTAGGGCATTATTAACCTTTTTGGGTATAAGTTTCCTCATTTACAAAGTAAAGACAATAAAATAATCTACCTCAGAGGGTCAGTGAAAGATGAAATGATTCAATACATGTGACTAGAACAATGCCTAACCCACAACAAATCCTGCATAAATGTTATTATTATACCACTCACTTTTCAGAGCCAGGATAGACTCTTCTAACTGTCCAAATATAACTTCTGAAATCCCAATGTCAAGAACACAGCAGTTTAAAGAAAAGAGAGGAAATGCCACTGCCTTAGAGACTGATGCACAGGCTACATAAGCCAAAAGTCAGGTGAAAATCCCATTATGAACTGAGAACTGGTGGGAAAATTCCAACCATGCTGGGAAAGAATCTGGGTCCCAGTCTCACCTCTCCCCTCCTTGCCACCATGCTCAGGCAGGAGAGGTTGAGGGAAGTTTCTTTTATCTTAGGGTGGGTGCAGAAGCTGTTTACTGTTCCTCTTTTCTCCATTCCAACCACTCCCAACAGAAGGATGACAGGCACTGAGTCACATACAGAGACACCGGCTGTCACCCAGTAGATGCAGTTCCCTTACATAGGTTAAGACTAGAGATGCTGTCTTCACTTCCACCATTGTCCTCTCCCAGCAAGAGGATGTATGAGGAAGACGAGGAGGCCAGAAAGAACTGAGGTGAAAGGAGCCAAAGTACAAGAAGCCCCAAGTAGGTAAAAATAGGACATAAAGAAACCAAGCAGAGATGAAGGTCCAACACAGGAGGGCAGGGAGGTGAGGCCTGTGGGTATTTATAGTTTGGAGGAGTTCAAGACTGCCATGAGGAGGCCTGGTCCATAGCTTCAGGATGACTTACAAAAATGGTCCACACTGTGCTTCTCAGGATGCATTAGCAGCCAAATCAATAACTACAGAGGGACTGGGCCACAGCCAGCTGCTCCTACCTAAAAATAATGCATTCTCCTTCCCTTCTGGAGGTCCAGAGAGCAAACTAGGGAAGGGGTGGGGATGGCAGCAAAAGAAACAGCAGCAGAAAGGGAAGGAGAGTGCAGCAGCCTAAAAGAATCAAGGGCTAGTCCTGAATCCCAGTGGTCTTTCATGCCACAAATAGGCTTTGAGTACTTAATACTTCAGTGTTAAAAGCAACCCCAGAAGATAACATCACCAAAAAACTATCACTCTGCTTTAGAAGTCTGAGAGCTGACAAATTAAAACTTAACAGTAATTATCCATATTTTTAGCAAGACAATAAAGTCTTAACACTTCGTTGCCATAGAGACCAGTAAAAAATGAAAGAGCCCCACCAGCCCTGCCCCTGAACCTCAGACCTCCTCCTCTTGGCTGGTTTCTAGCTGGTGAGCCAGGCTCTGACTCCATTGCCTTATAACAATAAGCCTTACAAAGCAGGCAGACGAAGGAAGGTGTGCCTCCCCTTTGGTAGGGCCATTCCTAGAATACTCAGCTCCCTGGAAAATCACTGGTCCCAGGCAGAGCTATATATGGGAAGCAAGAGTTGAAATGGCTGGGAGAATAGAAGACTTAAGGCCTGCAGAATCTTGATGTATGATGCTCAATCCCTTTGGATACTGGACTGGGATTTCTACTACAAACAAGGCTCAAGGCAGTATGGAGACCAATGGTAAGAATGTTGAGCTTGGGAGGCTTCTCTGGTACTTAAGCTCTCAAGATCATAAAACACCCAAAGGAAGGTGCAGAATGTGCTACTGTCACACTGCCATCTGGTGGAAAGACAAGATCTGTCCTTAGGCAGAGAGAGAGCCTGATAGTGGGCAGGTAGGTTTGGAGATAGTTAAGATGAAGACAGATGAAAGAGATCATGGGGAAGAGAGTATAATGCAGATACAGATGGTGTATCTGTATAAAGGTGTGCACCTTTTTTCTTTCTAAAGAAGGTTAGATATTTAAATAAAGAAAACACAATAGCATTACAAATGTTTTATATCCCTAGAACCAACTCATGGTTTTGGTTCATTAGAAGTTAACATCACATACAACTGGTACCACACACACGGGCAGCAGCTGCCACAACAGCAAGACTTGCCTTTTGTACGAAGTATATATATATATCTATATATATATATCTATGTATATTTATGTACAGACGTAAGGGTATAAAATCCAGTAAAGGCTCATGTGTGCCCAAGTAGGAGAGAGGAGCAGCTTTAACAGCTGGGGTGGAGCCCACAGTAGAGGCACATGGGAAGTGGTGGAGAGTAGCAGCCTCCCCAACATCCTTCCACCCTGGACCAAAGGAAGAACCTGGGAGGAAGGACAACTAACTATACAAAGGGAGATGGAGGATACTGGAAAGATACCTCCATCTTTCACTAAACTCCTAAATGCCCCTAAAACATACAAAATGCCTGGCAGTATAGATCATTTCTACAGCTCCCAGGAAGAGGTTGAGCCCAAAGTAGTTCTGGCCCCAACCTGAGGTCTAAGGCAGGCTTTACAATATACATACATGTCCAAGCTATCTTCCAGGGCCCTTGCAGCAGCAAGCCAAAACCTTCAAGGTTCACTGCCCCCTAAATTCCAAAGTCCTCTTGGACCACAGAGCTTAAGGGTTTTCCTTGACAAAAGTATAGGGTAAAGGTATAGGAGAAAAAGTCAGTTCCTTCAGTTAATGCCCTACAGCCTTCTCAACAGAGGAGGAATCGAGGAATCACTAAGAGGTGGTTGGGAAGGGCAATGAAGATCATCCCAGGAGATGATATACATGGAGAAACGGGTGTTCATTAATTCTCTCCTCTTCAACTAGTGGTTGCTCATCAGAGTCCATTCACAGTGGGGCCATGGGCAGGAGGAGCTCTTCTTGGTGTCTAAGGGTGGCAATGGCCCCAATTCCCCTAGAGTTAATGTCCATGGCCTCAGGATGGCTTGGTCCACAAAAAGGAGAGAAGGGGCCATAGAAGGGTAGATGTGAAGAAGTGAGCGGCAGGACCCAGAGGCAGAGGGAGGCAATGTACCGTACTGCTGATTTACCTGGGACAAGAAGAGGTAAATAGAAGCCAAACAAAAGAAAATAACCAGAGACTAAAATGAGCGAGATCCTGAGACTCACATGGTCTGGGGGGTAAAAAGGCTGGAAAGCTGGAAGCATTGGGAGGCAATTGCCTGAGAGGCAAGGTTCAGGGCTGGACTCAGAGCTGAAACCGAGAGAGAGGCAAAATGAGTCAGTGAGCACAGAGCATTCCTTCTTTCCAGGTCCAATCCCTCTCCCCCTTTCCCAAGTCCAAGTCCATACCAGTCAGAGCTGCTGGGTTTAGGGTCCCCAAGGGAACTGCTCCATTCAGCTGCAAAGCAGCAGCTTGGGCAGCGGTGGTGGCGGCAGCAGCAGCAGCGGCGGCAGCGGCAGCAGCTGTGGTTGGCAGCTGGATTACAGAGCCTACAAAGGAAAGAAAAGGAGGGGTTAACTCTCAACCCTCAATCTACAATTCAACTCCATGTTCTTCACTCTGCAGGAACTCTACCTTCTGCCAATTTGGCCATGAGCTGCAAACGTCCACCTGCTGATCCCAGATCCAGCTCCTGGTCTCCTCCATCAGGGAAAGTGATGTCTGTGCCACCATCCAGTCGCTCAGTCACATGGCCAACCCTCATAGGTCGACCAGCAAGCTCAAAGCCATTCAACTGTTCCAGGGCCCGTCGAGCACACTCAGAGTCAGAGAACTATAAGAAACCCAGGCCATATCAGTTACCTCTCAGCCACAGATATGCTCTCAAAGCCCCACTAACACTCCTAGTCCTACTATCCCAGGAAAACTGCACATTTGCTGAAGCACAAAATTTTCTTTCTCAGGGAATGTGACCTCAAATCCCCCTAAAATTGTTCTCTGAAAGAGGTATTTTCCAATTGACTCAATGGCACTTTTCCATCTCCGAGCTCCACTAAAAATCCAACACTGTAAAAAGTCTATTATCTATAGGGAGCTTAGCCTAACAGGCTGTCTCACAAATGGGCATACAAAACAGAAGACAGACAGATTAAGTTTCAGTTCTCAGTTAAGAACAAGGAATCTGGACCTCCAAAGCCTTAGGAGGAAAAACATCCTGGTGTTGAAAAGAAGACTGAACCCAACCTCCACCTCCTCCACAGTGACCTGCTGATCACAAGGTCTCTACTCTCCCGCCCCTTTCATCAGCAGCATCAGCAGCAGCCTGGCATAAAAATGACTCCCAGCCCTGGCCGGTTTGGCTCAGCGGTTAGAGCAGCGGCCTGTGATCCAGAGAGACCTGGGTTCGGTTCCCGCTAAGGGCATGTACCTCGGTTGCAGTTTGTCCCCGGCCCTGGTTGGGTCGTGCGGATGGCAGCCACTAGATGTGTCCCTTTCACGTCGATGTTTCTCTCTCTTCCTCTCTCTCCCTCCCACTCTATCTGAACAAAAAATGGAAAAATGTCCTCGGGTGAGGATTAAAAAGAAAAAAAAAGGAGTCCCAGTCTGCTGTTTAAGAGTCAAGAATGTTGATCTAAAAGCAGCAACACAAGGGCAAAAAGGCCTCACAGAAGCCTTTCTCAATCTGAGTCACACAGGGAGCTGGTAAAGGTATTTGCTGCCCTGGCCAGTTTGGCTCAGCGGTTGGAGCGCTGGCCTGCGGTCCAAAGAGTCTCAGGTTCGGTTCCCGCTAGGGGTGCGTACCAAAAAGAAAAAAAAAGAAAAGAAAAGGTATTTGCCACCAGGAACTCCACAAGGAACACCACAGCTGGCTTTGTTTACTCTGGTATCACCTGCTCCAGGGCCTGGCAGGTGGTACTGACAGTTCCTAGGCAGGTCAGGTAGGTGGCGTGCCTTTAACTGGATACTTTTGAGGTGAGCAATTGCCATGGTAGAACACAACCTACCTCCCCTCTGCCCTGCAGGTAACTGTAGGGTGTATGTTGCCTGGACTGAGGCCAGAAAATATCAGCTTCTATCAGATTTTGTGGCTTGCAGCCAGTCCTCAACCTGGAGTCACATGGGGCTAGAAGAACCAGTTATGGGAATTGGAAATAATTTTGTTGGAGTGCCAGGAAAAGATGAGACTTGCCCACTATTAGGTGACTTCACTATTCTCCCTATAGTGGGATTTAAACATAAAGATACTTCTCAATGGAAAACCTGCTTTAAACAGGTAGTACCAGAGGAAATTTCGCATACAACTTCCTATACCCACCCCATCAAGAAAATGTATCAATTCTATAAAAGCTCATACCTAACCTCCCTCATACCCCCAACCTTTCAGCTGTAGCCTAGAACCATTACTATTACCCAAAGAGCAAGCTGCAGCACCAGAGAAGGTGGTTGAACTCCTGGATGCCCCCATACCAGGGCCACTGACAGAATGTAGGAACAAAGTCAAGATCTCAAACAATGTACTCATCTCAAGGGGCAGAAGGCTAGTCCAAGGTTCAGGCACCAGGGTTTATGGGTCACTCAGATAGTTCCTAAAGGAGGAGGAGGAAGCTAAGCTGCAAAATCAGACAACTGAACAAACCCAAATTAAAATAAACAAGTTAAAGACTAGAGACTTACCACAATGAAACCATAACCTTTAGAGCGGCCTGTATCTGAGTCCTTCATCAGGACGATATTATCAATCTGTGGAATAGGGAGAAATTATTATTAATCTTTGACCCTTCCTACCCAGACAGTTCTAATACCTCCAACTTTCTAGCCACCAATTACATCTCTTCAAATCTTTTTTTCTTCTTTTTTATTGATTTGAGAAAGAGAGAGGAAGGGAGAGACAGAAATATCGACGACAGAGAACATCAACTGGCCGCCTCCTGCATGCCCCCCACTGGGGATTTGGTCCACAACCTGGGTATGTGCCCTGACCGGGAATCAAACCAGAAACCTCTTGGTGCATGGGTCAATGTTCAACCACTGAGCCACAATGGCTGGGCCATCTCTCCAAATCTTTTAAAAAAGAGACAAAGGCCATTTTCCCCCCAAAACACCTTTCCTGACTAACCTTACTTAATCAGGACCCCTTTACTTGATTTCATGGTGCTGACTCATTTATCTACTGAACAGTCTGAACAGAGAAATGGAGCCTAACTTTCCCAGCATGGACCTATATGCCCATTACTACGTACTAATAATGGTCAGACACAATGACAAGGAACGCTTACCCCTCCCCTACATTTTCCAATTCCCTTCAGAGGTTTCTTTCACTTTCTACTCACTTTGCCAAAAGGCTCAAAGATGCCCCGGAGCATGTCTTCAGTGATATTGCAGTGCAGGGAGCCCACATAGAGACGCATTGGTCCACCACTGCCCTTCTGCAGGTTGTTGGCCATGGCTGCTAGACGGTTTTTCTCAGCCTGAGGAAGGAGAGTATGATGGATCAGGTCCCACACCTCCTACCTTCAAAGCTCTCTTATGTCAGTTTCTCAGCCTGTTCACCTGTGAGGCCTGTACAATGATAGGCACCCCAAGCAGCCGCTGTCCAGTCAACCCAATGGCCAGAGGCACAGACTGGATTTCACAGAATTCCACGTAGGCAATGCCCTTAGAACGACGGGAGTTCCGATCTGAGATGATACGTACGTCACGAACCTATCCAGAAGAAAAAAGAAATCCTAAGTTGGGCATAAAGGGGGATGGATGTACAGTAGATAACTCAGAAAACTAAAGAGGGGAAGGTTACCTTGCCAACAGCAGAGAAAAAGTCCTCTAGGTCTCGTGGCCGAATGCGGGCAGCTAACTGCATACAGAAAACTGTTCGGGCATCACGCTCCTCGGGACTCAGGTTATCAACTGGCTCCCTAAAGAGTAAAATTTATTGGGACTCACCTGCCCAATACTTGGTCATCTTTCTCCAGCTGTATCTGGAGTACTGTATCTCAAGTACTACACGTTCCTAAAGTATGGCTCAAAGAGCTCTTTATTCATACCACACAATTCCTAAAAAAGTGCTCATTATCAACTCACCTGACCGGGCTCTTCTCTCTGAAATGAGGACTCTTACTGTGTCCAAACCTACGCCTAAGGAACAGAGAAGAACAAAAATGGAAATTGTGTCACTCAATTTTATTCACATTGGTCCAATGCTAGGTCTGCCATCATGAGAAAACCAGATTCCACCCACCATCTCCTCTCACATGTGAATTTTTTTTTTAATCCTCACCGGAGGATGTGTTTTTTTTATTGATATATATATATTTTAAATCCTCATCCAAGGACAAGCTTTTATTGATTTTAGAGAAAGGAAGAGAGGGGGAACGAGAGAGACACCGACTGGTTGCTTCTTGTACATGTCCTGACCAAGACAGAACCCAAAACCTAGGTATGTCCCTGACCAGGAGTTGAACCCCTAACTTTCTGGTGTATGGGATGATTCTCCAACCGAGTCACCCCAGCCAGGGCAACATGTGAATTCTTAATACCACCCCTGCAGTAACTGGATCTCCTTCCTATCACAGCGGGACAGAAGCATCCACATGCAGGGACCACAACACGTGCTTTACACAGATTACAATACAAAGGTGAGTTTATTAGCAAAAGGTGATACCCAGTGGCAAGTGGTGGACTCCTGTAGCACACACGATTCTCACGACGCGGGTCTCGACTTCGGCACTCACTACTATGTCGACGATCCCGGCTACGGCTACGATGACGATGCCGATCACGACTTCGGCTCCGACTGTTTCTTCGCCTATGTCGATCCCGGTCTCGACTACGACTATAGACAGAAACAACTATTTAGTTTGTTAAAGAACCAACCAACCTCTTCTGGCCTTTAATGTATAGCTCTCCCTGGTATCTTTCCATTTGTAATAATTCTCAAAACCCAACAGCCAGTAGAATGACTGACCTGCGCTTTCTATCCCTGCTTTTACTATGGCTCCGACTCCTCTTCTTCCTGTGAAAGGGTGCAAATTCTTAGTATTGAGAAAGTTTCATGATCTCTCCCAAGTAAAAAGAATGAGAGTATAGCCAAGGTGAAACAGAAAGCAATAAAGGGCCAAAGTTCAGATGATCTAGCAGTAGTTCACAGCAACTGCACAACACCAACTTACACACAGCCCTGGATGCCATCAGGCATCTGATGCAGCCAAAGCTGGTGTTTCCAAAGTAAGAGTCTTCTTGTTATTTTACTCAAATAAAATATATCAATGCTGGGACTAATCCACAAATCTACACTAACAAGCTTAAATTACATCATTAAACTAAATCACCATTATACCCAAGATCCAGTGGAGCCATTACTAAAAGCAGTCTTAGAAGCAACTACCTCCCTGTTCTGGCTGTTTCTCCAGTGGACAAGGTTGTTTCCCTTCCCAAGTGGCCAACCCATTTCCTTACACCACACTCACTTGCTTGCCTCCCCACTGGTGCTGCTCCCACTGCCGCTGCTGCCGGTGCTGCTGCTGGTATTGCTAGGGCCGTCCTTTTTAAGCTCCTTCTGCTGCTCATCCTGAGGGGTTCATTAGAAAAAAGGCACAAGGTTCAAGGTGGCAGACACAGAGATTCCATTGGGCACAGAAAGAACAAAAGAGGACAAGAAAAAAAGCATATGAAATCAAAGCTCTCAATTATCTCACCAACTTTTAAGCTCCTGGATCTCCTAACAAAAGAATTAAGAGAGGAAGGAGAGCCCTGGCCAGTTTGGCTCAGCAGTTGCAGCACTGGTCTGTAGACCAGAGAGTCCCGGGTTCGGTTTCTGCTAGGGGCACATACCAAAAAAAAAAGAGAGAGGAAGGAGAAAACTACCCAAAAGGAAGAGATCAGAGGGACAGATTTTGATGTCAAAACTTCAGCTTCTGCCCTGGACGGTATGGCTCAGCAGTTAGAGCATCGGCCTGCAGTCCAGAGAGACCTGGGTTCGGTTCCCGCTAAGGGCACATACCTTGGTTGCAATTTGTCCCCGGCCCTGGTTGGGTTGTGCAGGTGGCAACCACTCAATGTGTCCCTTTCACATCGATGTTTCTCTCTCTCTCTCTCCCTAAATGGAAAAATGTCCTCGGGTGAGGATAAAAAAAAAAAAAAATTTTAGCTACTCAACATCTATTTGTCAGGAGAGTGAGGTACACTGACCTTCTACTGTATCATTGAGAGCTATGAGCAAAGAACTCATTCCTGCCACATTTGTGGCCCCCTGACATTTTGGGGGGCCCACTATGAAAGCATGGCCCTTGAGTACAGGTCTTTAGCACAGCTTACTAAAAGACTATGTCTTTTATGAATACCCACTGTGCACAATAAAAAAAAACCAGAATTCACAAAATGTTGAAACCAATGATCCACAACTGCTTTTTCTTAGTAACCCAATTCCAGGAGTGAGGTGGGACTATTACCTCCTCTTTTTTATAGGGAGCCTCCAGCATGGCCTCAATCACTATGTCAAAGTCATCAGATGCCATCGCAGCAGATCTGAGGAGAGGATATCAACACATAAGAACCTCGTTTATATTTTTTCTACCCTTCCAGCACCCCACATTCCCTTCACCCTCCAAGAAACAGACTTCAGAATATAGTTTTCTGTTGTTTTTTTGATTTTTCACCTGAGGAAATTTTTCTATTTATCATTAGATAGAGCGGGAGGCAAGGAGAAAAAGAGACAAAGAAACATTGATGTGATAGAGACACATTAACTGGTTGCCTCCCACATGACCCAACCAGGGCCAGGGATGAACTGCAACCGAGGTACGTGCCCTTGACCAGAATCGAACCCGCAACTCATTGGTCCACAGGCTGATGCTCTAACCACTGAGCAAAACTGGCCAGGGCCAGAATATAGTTCTGTTTCCAAAGGGATTTTACCAGCTATTGCTTACCCTAGGTTTATTTTCACACCTTATAGATCTGAACTTTTAAGGTCAAGGGTCTACAAGGAGCTGGGTAGAGACAAAATAATACAGACCCTGCCCTATCCTGTGAAGAGAAAATGCTGGTACTCAAAATTACCATTCATTTTACAATGAACACTAGGCCTCCATTCTACTGTTCAAAATTCCAAATAAATAAGTGGTCTAACTTAAATAACAGAAATAAGCATGTATCTCCAAAAAAAAAAAGGTAACAATGCAAGAATAAAAATGAAGAATAAGCCCTGGCCGGTTTGGCTCAGCGGTTGGAGCATCGGCCTGCGGACCACATAGTCCCAGGTTCGGTTCCCGCTAGGGGCACATACCCCCCCAAAAAAAGAAGAAGAAGAAAAAGCAACACCTGAAAAATGCAGATTTGCCCTAAGCTCTTTCCCACACCCCTGTCACAAACATCAATCATTAGGGGACTCATCATTAAGCATTTTCTATACAATACCAACTAGATTAGATAACTCAAATTATAATTAAGATAGGCTTAACCAATCCCACTTTGAAGACTTTTTGTCTACCAGGCAAGGTGAGACTTCTCACCTTCCCCAAGCTTCCACATCTATTAATTATCTTTCCCAAGTCTTTCTACCACAGGTCTGTAAATAAGAAAAAAAGAAGATACTAAACAAAATCAAAACGACAAATTATTTAAAAATTACTAGTCTGAAATCATCAATATACACAACATGGATGAATCTCAAAATAATTATGCAGTCAAAAAAGAAAAGTACGTATTGTATGATTACATTTATATAAAATTCTAGAAAATGCAAACTAACCTGTAGTGACAGAAAGGAGGTCAGTGTTCAACTAGGGATAAGAGTAGGTGGGTAGGGGCTAGGAGGAAAGGATTACAAAAAGGTACAGGAAACTATTGGGGTGATGTTTCATGGATGAAACACAGCAAAGCCCATCAAAATGTACTTTAATGTGTACAATTTTTATCAACTATACCTCAATAAAGCTGAACCCCCTCCAACTAATCTTAAGAATTTCTATGCTAGGAGGTTAATCACAGTCAAACTTTCCACATCCACAAGAGCTTTGTCTTCTTCTTTAAAGCAGCTAACGCATCATTCAATGATGCTGTCCTTGTTGTCCTCAGAACCCATAGCCTATTTTATGGCTGAATAAAATGAGTAATATAAATATTATATTAGAAAGTAACAAAAATAATATAATAAATTAATACAAAAATAAGAGTAATAATAACATAATAACATAATAATGTAATGTAAATGACACATCATTTACAGTACTGAATATTGCTAGGCAAGTTACAGAGACAAAATTGTTCAAAAGAGTAAAACAATAATTACTTTGAAACAAATTTAAGACTTAAAATGGAAATCAAACTAAAAATCATATAGGTATGTCTAAAATCCAGTGAACTCAATCTCTTATAATAGTAACACCTTAGATTTCTTTAACAATCAAAGGTAACATATACTACTACCAGATATCAGATCCAATGCACAGATGAAAAACTGAGGTTTTGTGAACTGCCCAAAGTCACAAAATTCAGGAGCTGACTTGTGAGTCAAGTCTTTTGACCCTAGTCTAATGTTCTATCCCACTATACTGGTTAGCTCTCTCTAGAGGTTTATAACTTAAATAAAAAATACACAGCATACCAAGATGTCTATTTTTAAATGAACTTATCTAAAGAATTAATGTTCTCATAGTTTTATGAAAGCAATCAGTCTCATTAGCCATACCTTGTCGTGTATGTTTCAAAACATCAAGAACCAGGCTAACTGCAATGTACTCTATTTGGCCTATTATGAAAAAATTATTCTAAAAAGTTTTTGATCCTCAAACTGTCCCTTTCAGTCATTTTGGCTGCCAAGTCTATACAAATTTTCTAAATGTCATAAAGTTCTTCTCTATCTTTTTTACGCTTTTTCCTTCCTAAATGAAATGCTTCTGATTTCAAGAATTGTTGAGTGTTAGTGAAGGGTTGGGGTAACCTAACACACACACAAAAACTTTCACTTAAGTTGACAGGTGAACCCCCAATTATGGAGTCAAGTTGTCACTTGGACTGGAAATGAATGAACTGACTTAGGCATAGACATACACAACCTGAGCACATTTTGAAACTTCTAATCTCAATGTGTATAGCTTTCTGATGTTCTAAAAGCATTATTAAAATCCCAAATACTATGGATTTTCAGGTTGGTAGCTTTCAAACTCTCTCCCTGTCCAAACTTATTAGTCAAAGTCCATTCAACCCCATCCATTCAAACACTGCAGAACTTTCTTCCATTGCTGCATACTCCAAAAATTGCATTAGGGGCCCTGGCCAGTTTGGCTCAGCGGTTAGAGCGGCGGCCTGCGGTCCGGAGAGACCAGGGTTCGGATACTGCTAAGGGCACGTACCTCGGTTGCAGTTTGTCCCCGGCCCTGGTTGGGTTGTGCGGATGGCAGCCACTCGTTGTGTCCCTTTCACGTTGATGTTTCTCTCTCTCTTCATCTCTTTCCCTCCCACTCTATTTGAACAAAAAATGGAAAAGTGTCCTCAGGTGAGGATAAAAAAAAAAGAAAAGAAAAGAAAATTGCATTAGGGGCCCACAATCATGGCAATGCCTAGATCCTGTCATTGTACGGTCAAGACCCAAGCCAGCGCTTAGGCCCCACTCCTGCAGGAGCAAAGGAAAGTGAAGGGACACTGTCAGCCCAGTTCAGGCTGAATTTACCAAAGGCTGGAGTACCAGGGGTGATGGTAGTGCCACATCCTAGGTCCAGTCACTGAGCTGGCACAAACATCTCTAAACTGAAGCAGCTTAATTAAGAACAGGAACAATAAGAGATAAAAACATTCCCCACGATCTGTGACAAGTCAAGACTATGCTTTAAAAAAAGGATCCCAGCAGTGTGGCTCAGTGGTTGAGCAGTCCACCCATGCACCAAGAAGTCGCTGGTTGATTCCAGGTCAGGGCACACGCCTAGGTTGTGGGGCGAATCCCCAGTGGGGGTCATGCAGGAGGTGGCCAACCTATATTCTCTCTCACCCATGGTTTTATTTCTCTCTCCCTTCCTCTCTCTCTAAAATCAGTAAAAGGAAAAAAACGTTTTTAATTAAGAGGAAAAAGTCCCATAAACATCATCTCTGCGGGTATCCCAATGTTAAAACCTCCTATGTGGCTCTATACTCTTTCGCCACGGAAAGCGTGGTCACAAAAGGAAAGAGGGAAATGCCCACAGAGACCAACATACTGAAATGAGTCTTCCAGAAACTTAAGATCAAGGAAGAAATCTCAATTCCCTCATGTCTCTGAGTGGTGGCACCAAGAGCTGAAAACCGATCCCACGTGTTCTCTCAGAGCGCGGTGGGTCGATGCTCATTCCCCAGTATGGGCGACCCTAAACGTCAGGGCTGCAGGAACCTGGAAAGAGATCCTGCAGTCACACGGACCCTTGACCATCGTTAAGATACAGCCACGAGGATGCCGATGCTCAAAATTCTGCCGGTGGGGTGCATTCACGTAGCAAACACTTCCAAAGCAAAGATAACAAAAAAGATTTTTTTTAATTTTAAAAGTTTGCCTCATTCGGCTCTTGACGCCATTTTCTGCCTGTGACGTGAGGGGCAGGCGCCGCGCGGCAACGTCATGCATAGGTGACGTCGCGAGGAAGCCGGGTTTCAGGGTTTCTCACCAGTTCCGGGTCCCCGCAGTGGGGGTCCCGGTCTTCTTTGTTCTCCTTGAGTTTGTTGTGGGCCGCGAAGCACTGATATCTTCAGGATCTCAGCACTAAAAGCAGCACTGCAGCCCGAGCTGCTCTTCTTCCCGCAAAATGGCGGTAGCTCCGCTCTCTTCCAGAACGTTCCCCAATCTGCGCAGGCGCCAAAACATTCAGGCGGTGGAACTAACCTCAGTGGTTTCGCGGCAACAGTCCGAATTACAGTTTTTCATTGGGCTAAAATCTCAAGCATGGGTGGAGCCAAACTCAAATGTTTCTTGGCAACCATCAAGTTCCCATTGATTGGCTAACCTCCCCCGACCCTTCCGGAAAATGTAAGCGGACTTAGGCAGCCACCCGTCGCTCTCATTGGTTATTACTTGCGGAAGGCGGGCAAGCCGGGCGGAGAGCTAGAGGTAAGGACCTTCCTACCCGGCTCCCCGTGCTCGGGTTAATTAAGCCAAAGCCAGGGGCGGAGCCAACGAGAAGCAATAGACGTCCTTGGCTTCCCTTGTAGATTTCTCAAGGGGTCATGTTGGTCTTGGGACAGCTTTGTGGGGCAACTGCGTTTGCATCACTTTGGGCAAGATGCTACACTCCACATCCCCATTCTGAAGGAGCTGTCTTCAAAACCGTCCCAAACGTCTTCTCCTGCCTCAGGGCTTGGGACCCGGGCAACAGAAGTCTTGTCACAGATTTGTCTGATCCTACAGCTCACATACCTTCAGTTCAAATCAGTACCCCACACACTTCACCCTGCAAGGATAAACTTGAGACACTTTCTCAAGTGACTCCTTCCATGCAGTACTCAGCCCTCTAACCAGAAAGGGATGGAACTGACTGATGTCCACCCCCAAACCCAAGGCCTCTAAAATGGTAGCTGGTTCTAACATGGAGAGAGCCAGAGTCAAGAGGACCTATGTTCCAGTCTGGATTTGAATATTCACTTCATATTATTGCACTAACTTCACATACCTCCTCATAAAATGAAGAATTTGACTAGATGATCTCTTAGGACTCTAACCCTATGACTTTATTCCAACAAAATATGCCTGGATGTCTTTGTTTCTCGCCTAAGATGTAACAAAGGTGCTGGCAATTCAGAAGCTCTGGAAGGTGGAAGCTGGCTTTATATACAACCCTCTTTCTCTGTGGTGGCAAATTATGCCTCCTCCCCAAACAAAAGCCTAATCAGAGGTCCTAAGGGACAAGACCTCTCCATAGCTAGTCAGAAAGGCCTATATCAAGGAGTCCAAGAGTCACCACTAAGCTTCCCAAATGGGCACCTTTGGGTCTTGGATAAGGGCACAGACCTGAACATGCCCAAGTTTAATTAAGGTGTGGGAAAACAGAGGCAAGGGAGCAGAGTTGGAGCAGGAAAGGCCACAACTACACTTTATTTGTATTTCCTCCCACACAAAACCATCAAAACAGGAAGAGAGATGGGCAGAGAAAGGGCTGAAAATGTGTTCAATCTGCACATTCTCAGGGCTATTCCAGGGAGCGCTTGAGGCTGAGTGCCTGTCGGAGGAGCTTCAGATCTCACACTAATTCCTCATGCCTTGGCCTGAAGTCTTCACATACAGTGGCTTGAGCCTTATAATTAATTCTCCTTTGCCTACCTTGACGTAAGGCAGGAAAGCAGAGTGAAATGCTCTTCTCTGATGGGCAAGGGGAATTACAGCCCACAGATATACTGCACTATTTGTGCTACAGCAGCAGAACCTGAAGCTGCTTCCAGACATTTGCAAGCTTGGCTAGAGGCCAATGGTGTATGAGCGGCCTGTGGGATTGTGAATAGCAGAACAGACTGGTGCCGTCACAGCCCACTCATACCACACCTTCTTCGAATTGCTGCATCGCCAGAAACGCACACAGATGGTCTGGCCTTCACGCACTGTAATGGGCTGCTGTAGGAAGAAAGACAGGGAATTTCAGGGTGGAGCTAATGAATTATATGTGACAATGTATTGAGCTAGGTGAAGAGATAAAATCATAAAACATGACATCCCAACCCTCATGAGGTTTATTTGAAATCTATCAGAATAATCAGAACTGAAAAATCAGACATCAAACAATCTAAAATATGATCAGTGCTGTGAACATGCACAGGGAGAACGCTAACTTAGTCTAGGAGATCAGAAAGTTACCTGACAATAAGAATATTTAAGGAGCCCTGGACGGGTTGGCTCAGAGGTTAGAGCGTTGGCCCACGGACCAATGAGTCGCAGGTTTGATTCCGGTCAGGGGCACATACCTTGGTTGCAGTTTGACCCTGGCCCTGGTCGGGGTCATGCAAGAAGCAACCAGTCGATATGTCCCTCTTACGTCAATGTTTCTGTTTCTCTCTCTCTCTCTCTCTCTCTCTCTTCCTCCCACTCTTATCTGGAAATAAACTTAGAAATATCCTCGGGTGAGGATTAGCTGGGTAAAGAGGTAAGCAAAGAGTTTTACAGGCAAAAGAGAAGGGTATGAAAGCCTGAGGCAGGAAAGATTAGGTATTAGAGTAGTGGTTCTCAACCTTCCTAATGCTGCGACCCTTTAATACAGTTTCTCATGTTGTGGTGACCCCCAACCATAAATTTATTTTCATTGCTACTTCATAACTGTAATTTTGCTACTGTTATGAATTGCCATCGGAAATATGTGTTTTCTGATGGTCTTAGGTGACCCCTGTGATAGGGTCATTCAACCCCCAAAGGGGTCGCGACCCACAGGTTGAGAACTGCTCTAATTAGAGGAACCAAAAACTATTCCATTACAGTCAAACAATGTAATCAAGGGGACAGTAGCTGGAAAGGCAGGCTAAAACTAAATCACACCAAGTCTTATAAGCAACGCTTAAGATTTTCACCATTACCCTAAGGACAGTGGGAACGGTTTTAAGCAGGAAAGAGATATAATCAGAATTGAGTTTTTAAAAGATGACTCTTACTCAAGGTAGAAAATAGACAGAAGAGCAGCTAGAGATGTGGGAAGCCAGGTAGAAGGCCGCTGCAGATATCTCAACATCTGAAACTGGGATCCAAGCATGTGAGAGCAGCAGGATATGGGTCATAGCCAAGCATCATCTATAACCCAACTGTTGAAGTTACTCCTTAACCTATGGAGTTCTAAAGGTGATTCCTACCTTAATGGGGAAGAAGATGGGAAACCATGAGAACATCCCAGGAGAGTGAGTCTCTGGACGGATACCTATATGGACAAAATAATGAAAAAATTGAGGTCTCCATAACTGCTTTTTGACTAGGATGAAGAATCTTTTGGATTACTTTGAAACAAGTAATCAAATTTCCCCATTACTCATTCCTGGGCTTCCTGTAACTGCCCAGGTAGTACATGCTCTTACCCCACCATCCACTGCCCCACTCACTCAGAGTGATGTCCTGATAAAGCACAGTCTCAAAGTAGCCTGCAAAGCCATGCAGCACTGTGTTCACCTCCACAGGAAACTCCAAGGTACAGTAGCGGTTGTTGTCAATCATAGGATCTGTCAGGGAAGAGTTGTGTGGTGACAAAGGGTCAAAAGTCCTAGACAACTTGGTAAAGCATGAGCAAGAACAAGGGATGTTTAGACAGGGCAGACCCAAGACAGCAAGGGAAAAAACCAGGAGGGTGAGCTCTTACCCACCAAGTCAGAGGACAGACATGCAAGAACCCACCTCTGTTGGGATGGCTGAAAGTAAAACAGGGCTGGGGCGCAGACAGCTGGTGGAAGTTGTGCAGTCGTACCACATAAGGCATCTCAAACTGGGCCTGACCCAAGAGACAGAGAGCAAGAGCTGGAGAAGATAGGTAAGAGATACCTACTTCCTCAGGGAAAGAAGTTCAAGTCTAAGGTACACAGAAAAGAATGAAAACAAATTTTCACTTCAACCACTTTCCCACATCCCCAACTCCTCCTCCACCTCCCCATCTTCTGCAGAAGAATAAATAATTGGTGCTAATACAGAAAAAGAAAGGACTAAAGAGAGGAGTCATCCAGAAGAAGGTGGCTCTTTACCTCAGGGTCACGGTCCTTTTCCCGACAGGCTCGGACCTCATTGTATAGCTTGGAGGAGGAGATAGGAGCCAGAAAGGAGGTGTACTCCCCAGGGATGCTCACACCATCATCTGCAGTGCAGGAGGGTCACATTAGTTCCCAAGGGATGGAAATGGCATAACTGTACTAACTAAAAGCTCAACCCTCACATATCCAAACCGACCGAGGCAGCTCAATGCTGTCACATTCCCAGGTCAACACAAGGTTAAAACTGTAAGGAACCCAAGATATTCTAATCGAGTGCTTAACTTTTGTGAGGTAACAAAACTCTTTGAGATCTTGATGAAAAGTAAGCCAAAGGTATGTATCACAGCAGCTCAGGAAGTCCACATACTTCACTCTGCTCTAGTCCACTTCACTAATTGTATAGATGGGAACACTGAGTTCAGAGAGATTACTTCATTTCCTAAGGGCACCTACCCAAGTCCAACCCAATCTCCCCATACCCCCATCCAATCTTCCCATAACCCCACCCCCAATGCCTTCCCAGTTGATAATCCAATCCCCTTACTCAGTACACCCCAGCCCGGAGGCACCTTTTAGGAAGTGCTGGGCTCCATCTAGGCACTCAGGTGACAGCTCATTATCAGCAAAGGAGCCCAGAAGCTCACTGACAATGATGTCTGCTTTCTCTGGAGCCACCCATTCCCGCATGTCTGATGACACTACTGTCACTTGGCTTCCCCATTCTTCAAACTGCCAGTTCTCTAGCCTAAAACAGAGATGATACAAGTGAGGATACTACTAAGAAAAACTGGCACTGGGGACAAACTTCCCGGCAAGAGGGTTGCTACTCACGTCACCACAGCATTAGGGTTCTTCTCCACAGCATACAGCTTTATCCGCCGGTCAGCCTGCTTGGCTGCCCGCAGAGAAGCATTCACCAGGGGACCCCGGCCTGCTCCCAGCACCATCAGCACCCTAAGAAAGAAACAGATTGAGTTAAGCTGACTCAGCATATAGAAGAGTAGGCACACACTCTCCAGGATCATGGGGAGATTACTCACTGAACATTGGTGTCCTTCTCTTCATCTGGCACTCGGTCTA